GTTATGGGATTTGTGGGTTTGTTTGTTTGGGTTTGTTGTTTTTTTTTTTACTATTCAGGAATGAAATCTAAAGTATAAGTCCTATATATTTATTAAGACATTTTTAAAATCTCTTAAAGAACACATGGATATTACCAGGAGAGGGGGAAAAAATTACATATACCTAATACTGTCAAGTCATTTTTGAGTTATCATGACTCCATCAAATTTTAGAGACTTTAAGTCTGTATGGGAGGAGACTGCCCCTCTTTCTCCCATGGATTAGCTGGTAGACTAGTACTGCGAAATTTTCACAAAGCAACCTAACACATAATACCCTGTGCACAAATAGATGGATAGACAGACAACATTTATGTATAATTATTATAACAATAAAATGTATTTAAATCTAAACAGTATCTATTAAGTAATAAACTCATATAATAATAGAATGAAACCAAGAGAGGTTAAATACCTTGTCCAGAGCCACCCAACTGATAAACAGCTCAGATGAGAGTTCCACCGAGAAGTGAACTGACTATTCTGAGCATATAGAAGAACTTGAGAGTAAACAGCGTGAATATGAGTGAGGATTCTAATGAGTAAATAGATTTAAGGGCAGATGCTTGCAAACTGTGAGTGCTGTCATAAAATATTTAATTCTTTTTCTGTAAACAATATAAAATTACTTCCCCAAAATGGGAAGGAGATGCTGTAGTGCATGTTTATATACAGTACACATGGTTCCAACACCATGAAAATGGGACAGCAAGATATGATTGGTGTTAGGAAGACTATCTAGGACGTTTTTGCAATAATACAAGGAAATTATATTATTGCTGCAAAGGGGAAAAAGCAACCAAAGGAACAAAGGAATTTTTGCAGTTAAATTATTTTAGATATAATGAAGGACTGTAAATAGTGATGCAGCTTTGTTAAATATAGCTGCTAAACACATTCCTTACATCTTGATAAGACACAGTATTATTAAAAAACCAGAAAGCTACCTTAAAGGAACCTTTTCTCTCTCTCTCTCTCTCTCTCTCTCTCTCTCTCTCTCTCTCTCTCTCTGTGTGTGTGTGTGTGGTGTATGTGTGTGTGTATATGTGTGTGTGTTGACAAGGGCTGGCAGGCATATTGCAGAGGACTTAGCAATCGGATCAATGCACACAAGACTTGCATTTCTAAATGAGCATTGTAAGGAAGCAGCAGGGGAAGGTGATTGCTCTCTCAGCTGTGGAATCTGCAGGGCCAGCAGTAGGAGGACTTCTACTTCAGCATTTTGGGGGCAAACTGCACAGCTATTGCGTATTCTTGGGTGTTGCTTCTGAGCAGCAGTGACTGCATTTCTAAAGCAGCAGTGCCCCTCCCCTCCCCAGCCCAGGGTTGTGGTGTTGTTGTCATGTGTCATCGAGTCGCTTCATAGAAATCCTATGTACTTTTCCTAGGTACAGAGTGTCCAGCCCTGACTTGGGTGCTGTGAGCTCTCTGAGGGTCTTTACTGCTTCTCTCTGCCTTTAAAATTAGCTAGAGCATCTTCTGCTTGCTACGTGTTTATCTGTCTACTTAAAGGGTGAAGAAAGAAAGCAATCCAAGCATGTTTCAAAGAGGTTTTAGCCTATGCAACATAGGATGATAGTTCTAGTAGAATGTAAAGGTGGTGAGATACTTTATCCTGGAGTTTCAGAGGTAAGTAGGGGGATAGATGTGCAGCTTTAGGAGTGTCCAACACAGAGAAAAGACTGAAGCTGCAGAAGTGAGTGGTAATTGTAAAATGCAAAACAATTCTCTGGAACAGAACTTTGAATAGAAATGTGATGCAAGCAACATGTGTAATTTTACGTTTTCTAGAAGCCGCAGTAAAGAAATAGAAAAAATCAAGTAAAATTAATTTAATAATTTACTTTATTTCATCCGCATATCCTTAGTGTTATCATTTTAACAGAATAATCAATATAATAATTAACTAAAGATACCTATTATATTCTTATTTTTCCCCTAAATATTGAAAAACTGATGTCTATTTCATGTCAGCTCAGACTCTCAGGTTTGTACTGCTTTAGAGCTGCATATATGGCTACCTTAGTGAAAAGAATAGGTAAGGGCAGATGGAAAGGAATAATTTAAATACTAAAAAGGTGATGAAGACCCCAGATGAAATGGATTAGCATGGTAACTTGGGTGATAGGGGTAGGTCTTTCAAAAGCCATGGTACTGGCTCAGGATAGGGCAGGCTTCAGAGCTATTGAGTCATAGCTTTTTAATTACCTGTATGACAGCAACAAACAGGTAGCATGAAAAGACATGGAGGACAACTGAATAAAGGATCACAAAATGTGGGAGCAAAGAGTTAAGAAGAAGCACATAAGAATGAATATAAAACTGCAGAGTTGCTATTTTGAATGCTGCACATCAGGCATTGTTCTGATCTCAAATACAGGGGTTTCAGCAGCAAAAGAGACAAAAATTCCTGTACTTACGAAGCTTGACTTAGCTAGGTTGACATAGGATGGGTAGACAGTGAAGACCTTACAATACGTAGTTAAACAAGTAAACTGTATAGTCTTTCAGATAATGATAAATGCTTTGGGTAAAACAAGATAGATAGGAGAGTAGGAATTAATTGTTGTTTGAAGTAGTGTCCTCATATAGAAGGTATCATCGGAACAGAAATTGGAAGACAGAATGTGTCGCAGATGCACTGGAGGCGAGTGTGATGATGGAGGAATAGCAAACAGTGCACTGAGGTGGTGAGGTGTGTTTGAGGAAAGTTGATAGTGGTAGACCGTGTAGTTTAAGGAATGGGTAGCAGTGAGGTATGGATGAAGGTTAGTTTTTCAAAGTCCTTGTAGGACTTTGTAAGTGATCCCTGGTAGTGCAAATACTTACTGTGCTCATCACTAACCACAAAGTGGAAAATTCAACTTCAAAAAGAGATACCTCAGGCCCAGGTTTCACTCTGGAGTGTTATCGTTGTCAGTCTTTGGACTATATCTCAGGATTTTCCAGAAATCAAGCTATTATGAATTAAAAAGAGATAGCTCCTTTTGGAAGTGCCAATTGGCAGCATCATTATGGATGGTGAAGAGATTGAGATTATGAATAGTTTTAGTTTGCTTGGCTCCACAGTCAACACTCTTGGCACTAGCAGCCAGGACCTCACGAGACAAATGCATTGGAAAAGTCAGCTGTCAGGGACCTCTCCAGAGTAATTTGCTCTCTGAAAACAATAACGTCAGACTGGAGACTAAGATGCACCTGATACAGGCCATAGTCTTTACAGTTGTGTGCTATGTGTCAGAGAATTGGACAGTGATTAGGGATGATAGAAAGAGAATTGATGTCTTTGAGCTGTGGTGTTGGAGAAGAGTATTGAATATACCATGGACTGCTAGGAGAACAAACAGGTTTGTCCTGGAGATGGTGAATCCAGGCTGCTCTCTGGAGGCAAGAATTCTGAAGCTTCGTCTGACCTACTTTCTGCATGTGACAAGGAGGGACCAGTCCTTGGAGAGGGACATCGTGCTTGGGAGTTTGGAGGGACAGCGCAGCAAAGGAAGACCCTTGATGAGAAGGATCAGTTCCATGATTGGGAGAGGAGGTGTGTCAGACAGTGAGGTTGGCACAGGATATAGAGCAGGGTTTAGGGCTCTTGTACGTAGGATCACTATGAGTTGTAAGCAACTCGACAGCACATAATAACAACAACAGTGATTGACTTCCCAAAAACCTGTCACTGAAAACTCGATGTAACAGTTTTATTTTGACACACATGGGGTTGCAAAATGATCAATCAACCAGACTTTCCATTGTGTTACATAATAGTCCCAATTTTGTAAAAAAAGGAAAGCAAGAATAAAGAAAAAGTGGAATACCAAGAATTTAATAACCAAAACAAGAAGATAGAACACTGTTTTATTCTTCACGATCAGGTGAATGTAAGGGTTTCAAATTTCCCATCGCTGTGCGTGTCCACAATGATCATGAAACTGCTAGAGGATCAGCTATGAGTTGCTTACAACTCAGTGGCAAACAGCAACGATGAGTAAATAAAGCTGTCAGTTTCTGAGCTGAAGAAAATTGTTGAAGTCATGGTATGGGAAGAGTTTGAAATTCTGTGTGATTCCTCTTAAGCATCTTTGTGAAAGTGTAGATTATATCATTGTGTATGTTACAGACATTACATGCAGGTATATATGCATTTAAATATGTTTCTGATTATTGAGGATAGCAGTATTTGCTATGGGGGAACTTCATCTAAATATAGCTATTATAATTATTATGCTTTCTTCATCAGATAAAATTATTACCTTAGTAATGTCAGCATGATTCATAAATACCATGGAAATAGTGATGTAATACCTAAAATGAATGTAAAACTCTTGCCATAATGAGTAGAAAAATAATCTTATTTCACAAATTGAGGAAAAGGTTTGGGAGGGGAAACCAGAGAAATTGTATCTATTGTTGATTACCTGTTGCCACTATGTTGCCTGTTTATTATGCAATATAAAAATTCTTCTGCAATCTCCTGAATATAGTTCTTGGTTCTCTAACCCATAGAATGAATTTTCTCTTTTTCTTTAATCTCCCATATGACCTTAGATTTTTCCTCCCTAGTCCATTCAGTCCCAATGAGACTTGCTGAGCCTTGACTGAAATGCTTATATCCTCATTTTGTCCGTTTTTAACATAATACTCAGTGTCAAAGATGGTGTACAGTGAACACTGTGCTCCTGTGAGGTCTGATTAAAAATCAGATTGGATTTCTCTTTAAAATTCAGAGGAGACCATACCATCACAACTATCTAATTGTAAACTTTACCATAAGAGTTATTTTACATGATATTACTTCTGTATGGATATATAAAATACGGTATGTTTTACGTTGTAAAAAAATAATTCCAGGGTGCCAAAATGCAGGTAAGCCAGAATTCTCCTGTGCATTTCTTTTTCCAGTTGTTTATTTTTCACAAAAGAAGACAGACGTTAATACTCTCCCTCTTTATGTCTTTTTCCAGAGAAGAGAGTGAGAGTGTGCTGACTCTGAAAGGCTTGACTCCAACAGGCATGCTCCCCAGCGGAGTGCTTTCTGGAGGGAAGCAAACTCTGCAAAGCGGTAAGCAGGCCCCTTGGTACAACTGTGTGTCCAGACCACCTCAGTCAGCCGTGAATTAGAGCCCTGTTATTCTTCCATGAAAGCTCAAACTTGGGGTTTCCCTTCTCGAGCTGGAAGAAGAGCTGAACTCACACACAGATTTGACTTACCCCATCTAAATAAGAACTCCTTCATTCATTAGCATATAATTTTTATCTCTGCTCCCTTCTACTTTATATAATACCACCTATCATACCTACCTAGCTATAATATCCACACAAACACACTGTTTGACCACTTGGAGCCTATCACCTGCTAGAAATAACTTGTAAAATAGATTTTAACTAAATTTTCTCATCTCGTGCATAAAATAAACACATACGTACCCCATGCATACAAACTAATATATATTTATTGGTTTAGATTACAGTGGAGAATAGGGTAAAAATCTAAAAGGAACAATTTCATTATCCATTTAAAATGAATATTAGAAGCCATATATCCTTTTCCTGTGACTTATCAATTCAGAACATAAGAAACGGAATATAACTACATTTTATTTTTTTAAAATGGACAATATTTGCATTAAAATAAATATTTTTTGTTTATAAATCTGTGCAGTAAGACTTGGTAGCGTAAAAACTCTTTTTCTATGCTATCCAAACAGTGGTATATGGTTATTAAGCATTTAAAATCTATTTTGTAGGACTAAAAAAAAAATCCTAGATTTTTCATCTTCATTCATTTTTATTAACTTTACTTAAATTAGCCACATGGGACTGTCGTTATGGTTGGTAGGTGCCATTGAAACAATTCTGACTCAGATAGCCCAGTGGACAGCTAACCAAAATAAGGCCTGATTCTGTGCCATCTTCACAATCAGTTCTGTAGGTAATGGCTACCATATTGGACTACACAGTTTCTATACACTAGTTTTATCTATTTTGATTAATATTATTGTCATAACCCAATTTTAGCAGTACTTTCTAGGTTAATTTAACAGGAAAAAAAAATCCAACAGTGTTCTATAAACAATTTGAAAACACTCTCAGCCTCTCGCTTATTTTCCTGTATCTTTTGCTGAACCTTGTTTATATTTTCTTTCTCTGTCTTTGCCCTTCTACCTAGACAACTCAATTGTTCTTATGGCTAAATTATTTAGGCACACCTCCTCTGCAGAGAGAGTAATATTCAACATGTATACAAATACTACCAAGCGATCAGAACCTAGCAGCATCACTTTTATTCTATTTTTATGTCCATTTATTCCCATGTCAGTTCAGTGGCCACAAAAATAATAAAATATTTCAAAATTTTAATATAGCAAAATAAATTATATATGATTGTTGCAAAGTTCCCTTTAATTTATAACATCATTATTTTAATAATTTCTAAAAACACAAAACTTCTCCCAACAAGGTATAAAAATATTCAAATTATTGATATAAGTAAATCATATATATGCACTAACACATTTATCTAATTTGCCTTAAATCTGCATAGTTTCTGATAAGCACATTGTACAAGAATGCTATCAGAAACAAAGCCCACATTTGCTTTAGAAGGATACATTTCGTAGAAGGCAGTACATATTTCTAAGATGTCAGTGCTGGTATGGTTCCAGATGTTTTTGCTTTACTTTTAGACTTAAGTTACTCTAGTTCTTTGTTTTATTTCAGATTTTTACCTTTAAATATTTTTGCCTTTAGATTATTTGTATTTTCATTTACATTTATTTCAAATTTATTAGTTTGCTTTATTTTCTGTTGACTTCATTCTATCTCACAAACCCATATGCATATAAAAGGCATATAAGTTGTTGTTGTTAAGTTCCATCAGGTCAACTCCGACTCATAGCGACCCTATGTATGTAACAGGTTAAAGCCTTACCCAATTCTGCTCTAGCCTCACGACTTCTCGCTCTCTTGGTGCTGTCACTTTGTGTCAGTTCATCTCATTGAGGGTCTTCTACTACTTCACTGACCCTCTGCATTTCTAAATATGATGTTTTTTTCCAAAGACTGGCTCCTCCTGAAAACAGACCCAAAATAAGTGAGACAAGTTTGAAAGCTTAATATATATTTTAAACACGTATCCAATTTGAAAATATATTGCCTTGCATTTTTTGCTGTTACAATAGTTAGCATGTCTGCCTTCCGAAAGATAGCTTCTTTCTTCCTTCACTTTGTCTGAAAGGAGAAACTACCTGAAGCTTTGCTTTATTTAGCTTTTCTCCATGGAAGTAACTATTCTGTGTTTCTGTGATAAGAATCTAGGATGGACTGTAAGTAAATTACAGTACACATTTGGCAGTTGTTCTAGTTTTAAACATTGAATTATAAGAAAAATGCAAATTTAAGTCAAGAGGTAGGAATTTTAATATTCAGCATCTGGGAATTGCAGAGAAGTGCTGCATTTAAGCATTTAATTAAGTAAATACCACCCAGCCTTAACATTATACACCTATATAGTGAGAGGCTAGCCTTTAACTGTATTATGAAAATTGCTGTTGAAGCAATGTTCTCTGAAAATTCTGTCACTGAAATATGCTGAGATTTTAGTATTACAGCTGCCTATTTTTTTAAATGCTAATAGCATTATTGTGACTACTGAATTTAAAAAATTTTAAAAAGAATTTAAAATATTTTAAAAAGAATTAAAAAAATTTTATTTTCAAAAATGGTACCCCAATAAAGGGTTAAACCCCAAAACTCTGGTTTTAAATTTTGTTGTCTGCCCCCCCAAAAAAAGTCCTAATTATATTTAGCTTTTCTCCTTTGCCTCCCCATCCCCATCTACGCAAATTTAACTCGATTCAGATTCTTATTGTTAAAAAGTTAAAACATTATCAGTCAGACACATTGATTTTTGTTTGTCCCCACATTTGTATCTTCTTGCTTTTCTCTTAAAGACCTCTGGTGGCACAGTTAATAATGAGTTGAGCCGCTGACCAAAAAGGTCAATAGTTCAAATCCAGTAGTTGATCTATAAGTGAAATCTTTGGTAAAGATTTACAGCCTCAGAAACCCAATATGGTCGCTATGAGTCAGAACCCACACAAAGCAGGCAGTTGGTTTGATCTGGGGCAGGGGGTGGGGGGGGACTTTTCCATTACATTGGTAAATAGTGCCCTTAATATTACCAAATAGTATTAATTACAGCACTGACATTGTGACCCCACTTCAAGTTCTACTATTCTGCTTGGAACTTTTAAACTGTCAGTCACCAAGCACAGCAGTGATTTAAGTAATGTGTGAGTCATTGCAAGTAAAAGAGACGTTCCTAAATCTCTTTTTTTAAAGGATTAATTGTATTACTTATTTCATGAACAAAAAACCAAAGCATTTCACTCAAACAGATGTATCCAGCTCATTAATTAAGCTTATTATTTTCTTGGTTTTTATTTGTTTCCTTTCTTTTTAGAATTTCTGTTTTGTTGTCTGTACCAGAATCCAGCACTTTCAGGAACATTAGTTCTCTGAGCTCCTTTGATCGTCACTGATTTGTTCTTAGATTTAAAAAAATCCTCTGCTCATTTTTCTCATTCATTTTGCACCCCCTTTCTTCTCTTCAGCTACTGTTGAGGCTATTGAGGCTGATGAAGGTAAATTGGCCAGTCCCCTTTCTGTTGTACCTACAACAGATAAGGGCTCTGCTGGGTGTATTCATTTTCCTTTTTTATTTTTTTTTTTTTTTTTTGCTGTAGCTTGTACAGAGTGTGTGGGTGTTGGGCTAACAGTTGTGGCTCAGTATTAACCAAAATGTTCTTGCTTTAAAGGGGAAAATGTCCTTTTATGGTGTGTTTGTTTGTTTTTCTTTTTTTCCCTTAAAGCTATGTTTGACCTTGTATACAATGAATCATTTAATATAATCACAGAAAACAAAAAGGATTATATCTCTTGAATGATGTGGGGTGGGGGTTATGGCAGCTGTTTTGACAACGTGAAAAATAAAAATTCTTGAGCTGAACCATGTCCCTTCCTCAAATCAGTTTCAGTCAGCACTGAAAAGAATAAAAGTAGTTCTATTAATTAAAGTCTTTATAAGATTCTAGCAAAAGAAAAATGCATTCTAATAGTGCTTTGTTGTCATAATCAATTTATGTCTCTCTAAAAAATATTCCAATATGAGACAGATGTGTCTGCGATGAACAGTTCTTCTAGTCTTGTCAAATCTTCATCTGCTGATAATTATAGAACAATTAATGCAAAGTAATTGTAAAGTGATAAAAATACCTAGTGGCTATGGAAGTGGCCAGAGCAGTGAATACCGAATAGTCTGTTCATGTTTGCTGCGTGCCTGCTCTGGACCGGGCATTGTACTAGATGCTGCAGGAGAAATTAAGACTTGTACATCACTGACTGTGTCCTGGCACTGCTCATGGACAATAAAGACCCTTTAGTAATTTATTTTTTAATTGAGTGCTTTTAAGTATATGGTTATGAGAGAACTGTTTCTTAAAATAGTTTTAATATTATGTATACCATATCTTTGAAAAATTTTAAAAAAAAGAATAATTTGAAGTTCCCCTTTAAAACAAAATTCTTCAGTTGTATTTTGTTCTTGCAAGGTAACTATTTTTCCCAAAATTGTGTACATATAGTCCCTTACATGATGTGAAAAGTGCCACTTTAGACTCCTAATTTGTTACTTATTTGGATGGTAGGGAAATGACAGCACTGTAAGAGAAAATACAACTGCTTCCTAAATAGCAGTGAGTAAACTGCTATTTATGTGGGTATTCTCTGTTCCTCTTGGCAAATTCTAATCTGCAGTGTGCATTCTTGTTGATAGTTTGGCTGTTTTCTGTGGTTTCTGTGACTCTGTGTTGTGTTAAGTATACTACCAATGTAAATTGCTAATACCCATTGTCTGACCAGCAACTACAGCAGAGCACATTCTTCCTACCAGGAGAAACAAACACTGATTGGAAATGGAGCCCCATTCTGGAAACACATTATTCTAGATTTCTTACTCGTACACCCCTACACTATTGGTTTTTACAGCCTCGAGATTCCACTTTTACCATTATATGTTGATAAAATTGTTTATTTTAAAATTATGCTGATCATGAACACTGGTATATTTACTGATTATAATGAAATGATGAAGTAGTTTAGAAAAAGCATAGATTTCCACTTCATGCCATTATTTTGTCCCCCCAAAATCACTGATTTAGTGTTCAGGTTGGGTGCTCATTAGACAGCTCTTAATATGTTGCAATTTATTACAAAATTAGAGAAGAATTAAGAAGCTTTGCTTTGGGCCTTGGTCGTTCCTCATCTCCCCATCCTCTTCCTCTCACGGTTAACTAATCATCATTATACTAACATTCAAAATGTAGAGGGGGAATGAACGATTTCTCATGTTTAGTGAGTTTTGAGGCTAACAGTATCTTTTAACAATCTCATCCATACTAATGAAAGGTGCTTCACATTTGTGTAGGAGTGACTGGCAAAGTTTCAACTTGAAACTGCTTCCTTTTTTCCTAACTAAGGTTGGGGAGGATAAAGGTACCATGAGATTGTCCTTAAACAGCCATGGTGATGCAGCCCAGCTCAGCACTGGTGATTGGCCCTAAAATAGCTCCCTTGCACTTCACAGGGAGGAAAGCAAATTGATGTCACTAGTTTCCCATTTAAGATTTTTTTCTTTTTAGCTCACTAGTTGGTGCACTCACTTAAGAAACCAATAAACTTCCTATACTTAAGCCTTACCTGTCTCAATAACACACTAAGGATTACAGAAAACAAATCAACTATCATGACTTCTTTCGAGAATTCCATTTTTTAAGTCAATAGAGCCCAAACAATCTAACAATTTTTGCTAAACTTTATGTACAACATTTCCCGTATTTTTTAACTGCAAATCATGTGTAATTGATCTACCAAGAAATAGTTTTTCTTTGCTCTAGGCACTAATGGATACCAGATGAACATCAGTTTGGCCTGTTCACTGCTGAAGGGCAGATACAGCTTACCTTTTTAGTGATCTGATCTTGACAACTCTGGTTTTCTCTTACTTTACTACCCACTCTGCATATTTCTAAAACTGAGTGGGAACATAGGAGTTTATAATTTCGTTTTTCTCATGTCACCTTTAAGTGTTAGAGGAGGAAGATTTTTCTGGGATTTGGAAGTGGTAGGAAAATGTCTCAGGTTATTTTCATGTATAACTCCTAGCTAGTACCCTAAAATCTTTACTGAATTTATAGGTGTAGAAAACTCAGTAATTTCGCTGACTTTGTCAATACTTACACAACAAAATACTAAAAGTAGGGACATAGCAACGTCTGTCTAGGTTAGAGTATTTGGTGCACTAATCATGCTAATAATGTGAGTAGTTGATTCTGAATCTAGCTAGAACCCTATATTGTACCTACTTGCAACTTTTCTCTTTGCTTATCCAGTTGGGGTTTTATTTTTTTTAATTATACTTTATGGGGACAAGGAAAATGTTTACACCTTAAAAACTTCAAGAGGACATTTTGGTTGGCAAGAGACATTGGATGTTTTCAAACCTTTTGGTCATCTTCAAGTATGGTAAGGAGTCTGTTGTGTTGTGTTCAGGTCCCGTCACTTTGTTCTCTACTAAAGGATTCCCTCTCACTGCGAAATCTCTAACGTCACCAGATGCAACATCTGTGCCCTTTGGTTTCCTCTGCCTAATCATATTTTTCTCTTTTTAATGATTTTCTGTTTAGCCATCAAAGGATTTTCACCACAACATAAGATCACTAGCTTCGAAGAGGCCAAGGGCTTAGACCGAATTAACGAGAGGATGCCACCTCGCAGAGATGCCATGCCCTCCGACGCCAACCTTAACTCCATCAACAAAGCTCTCGCCTCAGAGACTAACGGCACGGACAGCAATGGCAGTAATAGCAGCAATATTCAGTGACCACTTCCTGTTCACTTTCTTTTCTTTTATTCTTTCCTCTTGTTTTTTTTTTTTTCCCTTTTTTTTTTGTTTTGAGATGCAGGGCATGATGGGGATTGCTGCATGTCAGCAGTTTGGGTGTTCTTGCCTCAGATGGTAGCTTATTTGCTCTGGGGGCCAGGAATTGGGTTCAGTTTACACTATCATAAAAAAGACAGACAGAGAGAGATAATAAACTATATTTTGGTGGAGGTGGTAGTTAAACACCTTCTTTGGGTATGCCTTTTAAAAATGCTTATAAGAAAAAATTTAAAAAGAAAGCTAATGCTAGTATATACTGCAATGTTAGGAGAATAAACATGTTTTCCTACTGTGTTAGTGACTTCTAGAAAGGTTCATGAAAAGCCTTTTATTATGTTACTGGACATGAAAACTTTGTCTAATTTCTTACTCTATTGTACGTTTACAGTCACAGCACTAAAAAAAATGGATGACATCAAACATTTTTAACACAATGATGTACAAACTAAATAAGGACTATTTATTGATAATGTTTTGCTACTCTTGTCAGACAATGGCTATAAAATGAATTAGGCAGTCTTAAAAAAAATAGAAAAAGAAAAAAAAAGAATGTTGCAAATTTGTTAAAATGCCAAAAAGGACAGTTTAATTTTGTACAGATTATGCTTACCTCAGGTTTCTTTAGTGTGCTTGAATGCCCTTCCCCCTCCCACATAACACTTACTAATTTGGCAGTGAATATCTTTTCTTTACGTTTTAAAAAAACTGGAATAATTACATATATCCTTTTTTTGCTGTTTATATTTAGGGGTTTTTTTGTTGAAAAAAAATCAAGTCTTGGTTGTGGCTTGCTGAGTTAAATATTTATGAGTGGTGCATTTTTAAGTATAGTGAACAAGACACCATATTAAGTACAGTGATAAAGCATCTATATTCTGTAAAAAAAAATCTGCCTATGCATGTTTTTTAAGAAAAAAAAAATGGCTGTATTGGCCTGTATGGGACTGTAATGCGCTTAGTGGTCTGACATATACTGGAAATGTATGTATACTGGCGTACTTTATATTCTAAAATGCTTAATGCCTTTGAAATTTTGTAATCAAAAAAGCTTTGAAAAAATCTAAAAAGGAGAGTATTCTTAAAAGTTTTTAACATAAGCTTGTCAGTGCACACATAGACGGTTAGCATGTTTAGCAAACCTTGTGAAATTTAAATAAGTTTGTAGTTACATGTGAAACTCTAAATGCATGGTAACTGTTAATGTCATAATGGTTTAGTTATTTTGTTCTGTTCTGTCATGTGCCACAAAATATGTACTTTTTTCACTTTTTTTCCCTTTGTATATCAGTTACGGGTTACAACTGGTTCATTCTGAAAACAACAACAAAAGTCCATTCATATTTTTTAACAATTGTATAAGTGCCCAAGTAATTCACTACAGCCTAAAGCCTTGCCTTTGTAATTTGACTTCTGAAATGTTGGCAATCAAAGCATGCACTTGTAACAATGACAAAGAAAAAGCATTTTATATTATTACTCAATAAAATGTGCATGAACTTAAAGACCTCTCATCCTTTCACTGAGTCGGCTGAAGGGATTTATGTACGCAGCCACCAATGGTGTCTTCTAGGTGCTGGGCCCACCACCTTGTCACAGTCTTGCTATAAAAGGCTTCTTCAGCCTTGTCAGCTAAGGTGTGGTGCCTATTTCCGCTGTAAGAATCTTGGTGGATTTGTGTATCAAATCAGAAAAGAGAAATTGATTTAAAGAGAAAATGCCATCTCTGGCCCCACAAATGTGGGAACTAGTTATATAACCAGAGCATTCCTTTTTATTGAAGAAAAAAAAAAACCACATATATGTGTATCAATTTGTTATCAGGTTGTTTCAGTTGTATTGGATCCCCTCTCTGCTAAAGCCAAAAGAACTAAGCTACCAAGTGCATTTTCATCACAGAAAAGAGTTGCATTTGTATTGATAAGAAATTTGTATAATTGTGCTTCAGCTAAATCATATTAACACCCGAATATTAACATACACAAAATTTCAGTTTGTTTCTAACATTGTTCATTTTAGTGCACTTTGTTTTATGTAATAAAGTATGCCTGTTATATTAAATAATAAGAATATGACAATTAGTGATTATAGTATACCAAAACAGAGATGTTCTAGATATATTCGCTAACAAAGACTATCCCAAGTTTATTTCAGTGAATCCAGACTTATTTCATGTGGATATTTTTCCATCTTCCAAAAAATGACATGCAAGGAAAATATTTAGATGCAACTTATTAGAATGATGTACAAGAAATGGTAATTATGATACCAAGGTGTTTATTTTCATTCTTATAACTGAAGAGAAAATATCCTGACAAAAAGAATTTTTTTTTATTCTTTACTTTTACAAATTGTGCTGAGGCAACTATGGCATAGAAATAAACATTTGACATTAAAATAACCAGTTGATGTGAGTATTCCTTGGTCATTTGGTCAGTAGTTAGGAAAATAAAATCATATATTTATGTAATAATTTGATCTTTCAGAGAATTGTTGTTGTTATATGCTGTCAAGTACTTGTGACTCAAAGCAACCCTAAGTACAACAGGTCTGAATCCTGCTCTATCCATAGCCAACCTTATTGTCTTGACACACCTACCCCATTACCTCAGTCACTGAGTCAAGCCATCTCATCAAGGGTCTTCCTCTCTTATTCGGTTCCTCCACCCTCCCAGTTATGATGTCACTCTTCAAGGACTGGTTCCTCCTTGCAAAGAAATGTATAAAACTAAAATTATTTCTCCAAAAGGAATTATAATTCTTGATTATCATTTTTTCATACTATCCCAGATTGTTGAATTAGCTTATGCTGGTGAGCCTTTGGTTCTGTGTCTGTCTGTCTGTCTGCCTGTCTGTCTGTCTGTCTGTCTGTCTCTTTCTCAGTCACACATACATACACATGCACACCCCATCTCTACCTTCAACTTACCTCTCATAGAGTTTATGTTCACTGCCAAATGTTCATTTAACTTTTGACCAATTGACACTCACCCCACTTCAGCAATTTTGTATGTTTGAAACCATGTTGTTGTTGTTGTTGTTTAATACCATTGAGTCGTAGACAACTCATAGCGACCCTATGAACGAACAGCCTGAGCACTGTTCGTACATAGAGTTTCTGGAGGCAAGCCATTTTGGAAGTGGATGCCGCTCCTGCTTCCAGGCTTGACTTAGTCGGGAAGGTCCAGCCAACACTGTCCACCATGGATGCCCATTACCACGATTGGCACATCACTGTCACAGGCTTCAGCATTACAGCAACCATGAGTTACCTCTGTACAGCAACACACAGACCAGTGCTATACCGCCTAGATGAATGTTTGTCAGAAAGACAATTTGAACTTTTTGGGCTTAAGGCCACCTCCTGGTTCAAACCCTAGGCCCAGGCTGGCTACCCTCACTCCAGGGACAGAGCAAACCTGCACGTCAAACACATTCCTGGAAAAGCAGTCAACTCCAAAAGCTTGCCACGATTCCTGCACTCCCACCACCACGCTCCTGCCTTTTGGCAAGGAGAGATTCCCACGAGCCTGGGAGGAGCCAGCCAAACCAGGAACAACATGGCCACTTCTTTCCCAGCTGCCTTGGGCTTAAGGCCGCCTCCTGGTTCAAACCCTAGGCCCAGGCTGGCTAGCCTCACTCCAGGGACAGAGCAAACCTGCACGTCAAACACATTCCTGGAAAAGCAGTCAACTCCAAAAGCTTGCCACGATTCCTGTGCTCCCACCACCACGCTCCTGCCTTCGGGCAAGGAGAGCTTCCCACGAGCCTGTTTGAAACCATACTCTACCTAAATACTTTTTAAAGTGGTGTTTAAAGGAAATTCTTCAGAGTATCTTAAGGAGGTGGAAGGGGCCATCTTTGTAATGACATGGCCTAGAGGAAAACATCTGACTGGAAGTATTTTATGAAATCTAGAAACCTAGAAAAAATAATGGTGATGCCATGCACTCAAAGTTATCTTCCTCTAAAACATCTTTCCATGTGCAAAGTACTTTCCATATGAAAGTAGTTTTAGTTTACACCCACCTTCCTGCTCAACATGAGATAAGGTCCACAGGAGAAGCAGAATATTGTCATTTTTTTAAAAAGTAAAAAATATTATAGGTGCCAATGAGTTCAGTCAACTCATAAGAAACCTGTGAACAACAGATCAAACCATCACCTTATCTTGTACCGTACATTATATCAGTCACTGCTTCAGCCCGTCTTGTTGTGAGCCTTTCTCTCCTTCACTAAACCTCTGCTTTTCCAAGCATGTCTTTTTTTTTTCTTAGCCTCTCTTGACAGCATGCCCAGAATATGTGGCATGAAGGTTCACCATCCTTGCCTCTAGGAAACACTGTAGTTGCACTTCCTCTAAGACAGATTTGTTGGGTTTTTTGGCAGTCAGTGAGATGGATATTCCCTTTTCTTCACCAGTACCACAATCCAAATGCACCAGTTCCTCTGAGTCTTCCTTATTCGTTGTCTTTCACATGCAAACAAAGCAATTGAAAAGTGTTTGGGTCAGAACACTTTCTAGTCTTTACAGTGACATTTTTGCTGTTTAGCCATTCAGTAAGAATACCTTTCCCTAAGTGTCTCCTCTTTTGATTATTTTGTTTCTCATTCACTGCATCCATCATATTCCATTAAGAGGCAAACATCTCCCAGTTTATCTTACCTGGGAACTTCCATATCTTGGGTGCCTGATACCAGAAACTACTTGAGGTGAGCAAACATAAGATCAAACTAAAAGATACTCCCTTTGGAGATAAGCAGCTTTTATTTTATTCACTCTACAAATACTGGACAATGTTATGTTGCCTTTCAGTTTTCTAGTCTCTCTTCCCACAGAATTGCCTCTCCTCCTTTGCTAGCCTCTCTGTCTCCATTGTCATGTTAAAGGTCAGCATTCCATCAATCATCATTTCTACACTCAACTCTTTCTTAGTGTCTTTATTTCTTTGTTTCATTGGTACTTCTTCCTTACATTTTAAGATAATAGCAATAAAAAAATTCCCTGACTAGGCCCTTTCCTAGAAGCAACACAAAGCAAGTAGGAGCAATATAAACATCGCATTCTTGGTAACCCCATCTTCAAGGGACAGCATGGATAAATTGGAATGCATCTGGGAGAATGGAGAACCCATACATGTAGGAGTATTTCTTTTAAGGGAAGTTTGAAGAGATGAACAAAAGGAGAGATGATGTGATTTGGAGTTAGTTACTCCACAAGACCTCATTCAAATGAAAAGATGCCCACTTTACATGAAGTTCAACTTGCAGCTGAATTAATACCATGCCAACTGATACCAACATCATGCACAATGGAACAAAATTCTACCAGGTTGTATGTATTATATTGTACACGTATTTGGTTGTCAAATGAACCTTTATGTTAGGTAGTATTTTCACTGGCTGGTTTTCAAAAGTAAACCAATAGACTTTTCTTCATAGTCTTAGTTAGAATACCCTACTGAAATCTGTTTAGCATGTTCTGTCTGTCACTCATAATCACTGAGGCAAAACTCACAGTTGACCCACCAG